GGCCGGGAAGCTGTCCAGCAGCGTGTAGGTGCGCAGCAGCACCGGCACCGCCGTCAGGTCCTTGAACTCGGTGCCCCGGCACTGGATCACGTGCGCCAGCATCTCCTGCAGCAGCGCCAGCGCCGGCTCGATCGTGTTGGCCAGCAGCAGGCCCTGGGTGGAGGCGAAGATCGAACTGTGCACGCCCGGCTGCTCGAAGTGGGCGCACAACTTCTGCAGCAGGCGCGTCAGCACGGTGCTGCCGTCCAATGAGAACAGCTCCAAAATCACGTGCTTGTACTTCAGCTCGACGAACTGGGTGAGCGGGTCTTGGGCCCCGCCCACCTGGGGGGCCACGCCCAGGTGGCGGAGGGCGCGCAGCGCCCCCACCACCGGCCCCGGGCTGGCCACCGCCCCGTCCAGGTGCTCCTGCACTTTGCCCAGCAGCGCCGCCACATGGCAGCCGCTCAAGGGGCACCCGTCCAGCAAATAGCTGCGCACTTCCGCGACGCGCCCGCTGGGCTCCGCCACGAGCGCCAGCGCTTCCCGGATGCGCCCAGAGAACCGCTCCAGAAACGGCACGTCGCCCACCAGCACGACGGCCACATGGAGCAAGTCCACGATGTAGGCGGCGCCGGGCGACTCCGCCCCGGGCGCCGTCTTCAGGAACTGCAGCAGGGCGAGCGCGTGGTCGCCCATGGCGACCACCTCGCCGACGCACTGGCGCCCCACGGGCGCAAACGTCAAGCAAAACAGCTGATGAAGATTGTCAACGACGTCACCGGCGTCACAGTCCAGGGCGCTGAGGGCGCGCAGCGCATCCACCAGATGGAGCGCGTGCAGCTTGTAGGCGAGCTGCAGCCCCAGCTGGTGCGACTGCGCCTCCAGCGTTTCGCCGTACTGCAGCTCGTCGTCTTCGGGGCGCAGCAGGCATTTGAGCAGCGCGTTGGCGGTGGGGGCGCGCCTGGACAGGAAGCGCACGCCCTCCACGTCCTCCAGCAGCGTGGCCAGCACGGCGAGAACGGGCGCCTTGATGGCGGGCAGGTTCAGAGTGCTGCGGCCGGCCAGCAGCAGCAGGAGCCCCTCCAGCAGGCCGGCCATCTCGAAGTAGCGCACCGGCATGTTGGGGGGCGTGGCCAGGCGCGGCAGCTCAAACTGCGCGGAGACTGGCAAAAAGCGCCGCGGCTGCTCCATGGCGAACGGCCCCCCGCGACAGTACTGCAACACCTAAAAACCAGTTTTTTAGCCCAATTAATCACTCACTCACTCACTCCTCCAGTGGGTCAAAGACAGCACTCACCTGATTGAGCGCCTGGGCCACCACCAGCAGGGTGGGGGGCGCCAGCGCCCCCTCGCGGCGCAGCTCCTCCAAGTGGGCGCGCAACTCCTGCAGACACTCGTAGAGGTTCAGCTTGCGCAGGATGCATGCGAGCGCGAACGTCTGACGCACCTGCCGCTTGGCGGCCATCGCCCGCATGATGACGCTGTAGCCGCCGGCGGCCAGGAAGCGCGCCACTGCATCGCGATGCAGCAGGTAGGCGTCGAGCGCCTGCAGCACCAGCAGCTGGATGCTGAGCGCCATGAAATCCTGCGCGTACAGGCTGAGCAGGGCGTCGTGCAGACTGAACTCGATGCGCCACAAGTGGCGCACGAACGGCTCACTGGCGCCCACCAGGGCGGCGAGGCGCACGCCGCCCTTGATGTGTCTGATCTTGTAGGCGGGCTGCTCCTGCTGATTGGCCATGCCGAAGTCCAGGCCGATCGCCAGCCAATCGGCGACGCTTTCGACGACAAAAGCCGCCTGCGCGCCCACCTCCTCCGACTGGGGGGCGTGCTCGTGCACGCCCATTATTTCATCCAGCAGGCCTGCGTCCCCGATCTGCGCGGGAGCAATTCAGAGGGTTATTAGCGTTAGCACAGTCCTACTCAATCAAAGACTTACGATTTCGGGCAGTTTCTCGCACAGATGCACAAACTCCTCCTTGATCGCTGTGTTGTGCAGCTGGAAGCTGCCCAGGCGGAAGCGCCGGATGCTGGACTTGAAGTAGTCGTCGGCGATGGCGATGGAGGAGCGCAGCTCCTCGTCGACGCG